AGGAAAACATTATTAGCGATGGCTTTTCACTAGGATGTCGGTGGTCTGCCTTTCACGTAAACTAATAATAGCCAAGTCATTCTAAGAGAACTGAAAGGGGCTAGCAGTCATTTTTAAAAATAGCATCTATTCTGCCAAAATGGTATTTCATGTTCTTTTTTTTTTTTTTGAATTGGAAAATATGGAAACATAAAAACAAGAATGACTCCTCTTAACCCCGCCATGCAAAAATAACCATTGTTTGGAGCTTGTTTCCTTTCAGTTTTTACATGGAGGTACATTTTTAAATGAAATTGGAATGACAACAGTAGCAAACCTTTTTTGAAACCATTCTCTGTGCCAGGAACTCTTTAAGCACTTTATGCGTATTATCTCATTCATTCATTCACAACTCTTTGAAAAAAGATGATCTCCATTTTACAGAAGAGGACACTGAGGCACAGAGAGGCTAAATCATTTTCCCAAAGCCACACAGCTCGTAAAAGCGGTGCCTAGACAGAAAGCAAAAGCAGTTTGTCTCTGGAGCCCAGGGTCTTGACTATTCCACGATACTGTCTCACAGTAAAGATAACTTGGATTAAAGGTCATGGAATTTGCACTGTTAGCTGTGACTTGTATGGTTCCGTCTCTTTATAGATGAGGAAGTTGAAGCCCACAGACCCGTGACCTGATTTAGCTAACGACATAACTAGTTACTGTCAGTGCCGAAACTGGAACATGGATCTCCTGATCCGCACAGTTCACGTGCACGCTGACTCCGGGTGATCCGTGAACCTTTGTCCGCCCTGGGTCCCGCCCTGAGACAGCTGCACCGTGCACTTGCCCTCGGGGCCGGCTCTGGATGACGTGGGGGACGCCCACAGCTTTCTCCCCAGCACTTACGTGAAATTTCACTTTGGGTTTAGGGAATGCATGGGCATCTGGTAACGATGTGTACACCTCGCCCTTCATTACCCTGCAGAGCGAGGGCTATAAAAGGCTATAAAAAGGTGTGACCCAACAATAGTTTCAACCTTCTACCCTCATCATTTTCACCTGAGATTTGCTGACAAGCAGTGAGGTGGATTGATTTGAGCTCTGAATGCTGTTGCTTTCCCCAGCCTGGACCGTCGAGGACATGCCAAGCATTGTTATAGTTTTAAAGTGAGCCAGAAGTCAGCCAGCTCTCTGTGTGCAAGCGCTCCTGGGTGTTCGAGGCTGTCCTGGCCCAGCAGTCTGTAAGGGAGGAGGCCGTTGCATTGCAACACCAGCGTTGGCTGGCCAGCTGCCGTGGGGCTGAGGATTAAAGGAAGAACGGGAGCGGACTTACTATTGCATTTGGGAAGGTAAGGTATAAAAGCCTCCGCATCTTCCAACTTGGTGGACTTCTCCAGAGCCAAGCAGGTTTCAGTGCATTTTTAAAAATAACTTAATCTGATCTTCGAGCTCCAGAGGGCAAAAGGTGGGGTCTTTAGAGTGTCCCAGACAAAGTGGAGCAAAAAAGACAAGAGTGCGTGATGATTGGTCAAAACTAATGCATGCCTTTAGAGGTGAGGCTCACGGTTACCCCTAGAGATGGGGGTGATGTACTTGTGATGGAAGGGGGCACGGGGAGCTTCGGTTCTGGTGGTTGTTGTTGTTGTTGTTACTGTTTTTTACTAGGTCACGGTTATACAGTATGTCCAGTTTGTGACAGTTCATGGAGTATTGAGTTTTATTATTAAATGTGTTCTTTTCTGTATGTAAGTTATACTTCACTTAAAGTTTAAAAGTCCTTATTTGTGGGGTTCCTGAGTGGTTTGGTCAGTCAAGCATCTCATTTTTTATCACGGCTCAGGTCTTGATCTTAGGGTTGTGAGTTCAAGCCCTGTGTTGGGCTCCACACTCACTGGGCCTAGAGCCTACTTTAAAAAAAAAAAAAAATCCTTATTTGTATTTGTGTTGTGTTGCTGCACGTTGATTCTCAGAAAAATCTCCATTTTTTTTTTCTTTTAATTTGGGAGAGAGCACGAGTGGGGGAGAGGGCAGAGAGAGAGAGAACTCCCAGGTTCAGGGTTCAGTCCCATGAACTGTGAGATCATGACCTGAGCCGAAACCAAGGGTCAGACGCTCAGCTGCTGAACCATCCAGGTGCCCCAGAAAAGTTTTCATTTGGTTGAACCTGTTTGAAATGGTATAGAACTTACTACCCAGCTGTGGGGAAAACATCTCTGCCTGAAATTTTCAGGTCTGTATGGGAAGAACATCCAAGGTCACTGTCTTGATTCTATTAAAATATAACTTAAGTGATTTCGGAGTGACTCTCCTGGAATAAAGAATGATGTCATCTGAGTTCGGCAAACATTATCGATAGTCTCCTGTGAATAGGGACAGTGCTAGCGCTACAGACTGGGTGTAGGTATGACAAGTCTCTTCCCTAAAGGAGCCTGTACCCGGTATTGGGGGGGGGGGCGGTTAAAATCCATAGATGAGTGATGCCAGGATGAGTCACGTGGCACCATGAAAGCACCATGGAGGACCACAGAAAGAACAGGCAGCTTTCTGATGGACTAGGGAAAGCTTCGTGGAATAAGTGGAATTTTAAGTGGAGCTTCAAGAATATGTGGGATTTAAAAAAAAATTTTTAAGTTTATCTATTTTTGAGAGAGAGCACAAGTGGAGAAGGGGCAGAGAGAGAGAGAGAGAGGGAGACAGAATCAAAGCAGGCTGCAGGCTCCAGGCTCCGAGCTATCAGTACAGAGCCCTACGCGGGGCTTGAACTCACAGACCATGAGCTTGTGACCTGAGACAAAGTCAGCGGCTTAGCTGAGCCACCCAGGCGCCCCTGGAATATGTGGGATTTTGATAACCAGAAGTGGATGGGTGGCAGGCATTGTGAATATCATTCATATGAGAAAATCCATAGGACATTCCCCTACATTCTGGGAACTTTGGGTTGTAAGGTTCACTTGAGATGAATGGCATCCATTAGGTGCAAGGTGAGGCCTGAAAGGTAAGCTAGGGCCTTATAGTGGCTGGGTTGTATTATTCAATTTGGGAGGCTTTGGGGAGCCAAAGAAAGTTTCTGAGAAGTAGAAAGGCATGATCAGATCAGTGAATCCCTGCAGTGATACAAATTTGTAGGCTCCTGATTGTGTGCTTACCACAGATTACCCTGTCTGCCCCAGATAAACATTTTCTAGATTTAGTGCATTCCCTGTTAATGTCATTTGAACCCATTCTTGTTTGGGTTCACTAGTGAGCCATAGATACAGAGTTTCCTTGAGCTCCCTCTGGTCTTCTCTAGGACTTGAAGATGATTATCCCATACCTTCTTTATTCCCTACGCCCACCCGTCTGTCTTGATCAGGTGACGTCAGAATTCCTCTCTCCTTTTTTCTAGTCTTACAAGTGACTTGGCATTTATTTACTTCCAGCCTTTCCTATGTGACACTCTTCTGCCAGATAAAACACCCAGTGTCTCTTATTCATAGCAAAATTGTGTGTTGGAAGAGAGGGGCCAAGAAATAATGTTAACAAACTTTTGTAAGTTGTGTAGGAGGACTGACTCACCAGCCTGGGATTGTGTCCCACTATGCCATTGGGCTCCCTTCTCTGGGAGAAAGCACTGGGCAGGATTGTGCATGGGACAGAGTGTTAATACTTCGTTGTTGGAAATGAACACATTCGAGTCTGGGTCACTTAGGCAGGGTGAGGTGTGTTAATATCTTATTAATATTTTGCTATTTCTGCCTACTGTTCCTTTAAAAAAAGTAACTTGTGCTGAATATTGTCTCCCATTTGGTTTCCAGTGAGACTCTGTATCAAGGGATTATTCTAATCAAGAGGTAGTTAACTTGACAAATCAGATGCTTCAGTTTAGAGGTTACAAATCTTTCGAGGTTGTGTTCAGACTCTGCAAAGGTTTATCTTTAGTCCTTTGGGGACACCTTGGTAGAGTGTCCTGACACAGAGAACCCCATAAGGGTGACTTGAATTCAAATCCTGGCTCTTGATGTCTCATTGTGTACATACCTGGGTTTAACATAGTCTTTACTTGGCATGGTAGGATCAAACAAGACACATATCCATGGTACCTGGCACCCAGGCTCCCTTCGTCTTTCCCTTTCCCTTTCCCTTTGCCCTTCCCCTTGCCCCTTGCCCCTTGCCCCTTGCCCCTTGCCCCCTGCCCTTGCCCTTCCCCTTGCCCTTTCCCTATCCCTATCCCTTTCCCTTTCCCTTTCCCTATCCCTATCCCTTTCCCTTTCCCTTTCCCTTTCCCTTTCCCTTTCCCTTTCCCT